CCGCCGCCGTCTGGACAGAGCCCGGCTCGGACTGTGACGCCGGCTCCGTGGCAGCGCCAGCGGCCGGCGAGTCCAGCCGAATCTTCTGACGCATCTGTCTCGCAGGTGGTGCAACACGCGGCCCATGCCCTCCTTCACCGCTGCTGACGGCCCGGCGGCGGCCCCGCTGCCCTGCACGGCGCCAGCAGCCGGCCCGGAGGACGTGCTCATCACCAGCCGCTGGCGCATCTTGTTCTTCAGGAAGAGCAGCACGCCGTTCATGCCGTCCATGGCCAGCTTGCCGGTCAGCACGTCATCTGCAGCAGGATATCGTGACCCTTCTTCTGCACGAACAGCGTGAAGACGAGGGCCGGCCGCGGCTTGGGCTCGGCCAGCGACACGGCTCCCAGCCTCGCCTCCAGACACGGCCGCTTGGCCGCCGGGCCGGTCTCGGCCGCGGCCGCCGCTGGCTCGGCCGACTCGGAGTCGGCGCGCGGCCGCTTGGGCGGTGGCTCGGCGGTGTCCGAGCGCCAAGACAGGTCAGACAGGTCGGAGCCTGGCTCGGCGTCCGGCTCGTGGTCGAAGTCGGGGTCGGGCGAGCCGGTCAGCTCGGCCGAGCTCGGCGACGGCTCCAGGTCGGAGGTGGCGCCCAGCCGCTCCTGCGCGCGCCGCCGCCGCCGATTGTGCGTCCACGTGTCGGCCGCCGCCGTCACCTTGTATGAGGCAAAGTACTTGTTGCACTTGCCCGGCTCCACCTCGGTCTGCCAACGGCCGCACGTGCGGTCACAGGTTTCGGCCGGTTGACACGTTAGCGCCATACACAGATACGCAGGCCAACCTCCTGCGCGGAGGCGCCCACCGCGTACCTTGCGCGTGACCTGTACTCCGGTATGGCATAAGCAAAACTCGGACATGCCATAGGAAATCTCAGCAAGTCGAATTCGGACAACCATTCAAAAGTGGTAGTCATCGTGCCTTACTGGCTACATTCCATCAGCGTTCATGGCGTTCGTCCGGTGGAGAATTCGCAGGAAACACGATGGCGTTCCTCCAGTGGGAAATTTACGACAACACAGACTGCTGGGGGGCAGTCTAGTCTGACCTGCAGCTCCTCAAGCCAGCCGACCACGCGTTGCTTAACACTGGGGATGTCGTAAGGGATGCCGTCCATGTCTCGCGGTACTACACACCTGCACCGGCGCGCGCTTCTTCGTCTGAGGACGCAGAACACGGGGTGAGAACGTGCGCAAACACCCTTCCCCCTCCCCCCCCCCCCCCTCTCTACTGTACCAGTCCGACGGCGACAAGTTTTTGAAAAGGATCAACGCTCTTTCCGGAACAGGCCAGCGTCCAAACACACCCAGAGCAAGGTCAAGACAAATGACTGTCAAATGGTCGAAAGGAAGTCGGCTGAGATAAGTTTTTCCTAAATAAACAAATGCATGACGTAGGGAGTAAAGGCTTAGAACTCCTAGTTTCCCGGCATTACGAGCTCACACTTCACAAATGAATACCGTTATGGATCTTCAAAATATCACGATGTACTCGTTCAGCGAGGTTGTCAAGCAAAGATGTTAAACACCAGATAAGAAAACATCCCAGCTTTTGAGCCTCTCACGTCTGAACACCCAATACACGGTACTGTGCAAACGACTGCCAAAAACACTGGCGGCTATGCCGAAAAGTTTCGAAGACCCACATTGAGTATTAGAACAGAAGGAAATGCAAATGCATGTATCAATGTTCATCACAACGGACAGGAAACCATTTCTACACGAACCTAAAAACGTAAATGATGAACTTTAAAATTTGTAATGCTAGCTTCTTCTTGACGTTAGCTTGTTCTTAACTGACTACGAGCATTACGTGTAACGTCGAGCGCTGATAACTAACCAACGTTTGTTTGATGCTGTTTTAACCAGTACGTCTCGGTTGTATTGAAGGCTGCTAACTTAACTGTCCGCGTAAGAACTCTGAACCCATAATAAGCAAGTGCATATAACGCACAGTTCGCTCAAAACCCAAAGCTACGGCACAAAACCGCACCCAGCTCCCCGCCGAAGTTCACACGTTATCTATGGCCGTCGGCCAGCCCACCTGCTTCATGCCCTTGACCTGGTCAAAGCGCCAGGCCCGGCCTGGAATGTCCAGCCCATGGCCCAGCGTTTGGTGTTGCCCTGGCAGAGTTCGGTGGTGATGACCTCGGCGGCGCCGGCCTCGTACGCCAGTCGCTTCATCGGCCGCACGCTCGACTTGTGACCCAGCATCGTGGTGAACACGCTGCGGCAGGAGGCCGGCTCAGCTCGCAGTCCAGGCTGACAGCGCGGCCGCCGACGGATGTGGGCCCACTGCACCCCTCCGTAGGCGGCGACTGCACCTTGCTGTATGGGCCAGCTGCACCCCGCTTTATGGGCCGACTGCACCCTCTGAGGGCGGCGACTGTACCCCGCTGTATTGGCCGACTGTACCCCGTTGTCTGGGCAGACCCCATACCACTACATAGGTCGAAAGTACACCACTGTACGAGCCGACTGCACCCCACCGCACCCTAGACGACGGCAGAGCAGGGAGCTCACGTCTGTCGCCGGGCCAGCCGGGCTTATTGCGTCTACACGGGTCTGATCCCGTCCCGACTGCCTAATACTGAGACGCCCGTTTCAAGAGCGCTTCGAGGGCAGTGAGCATATGCTGGCCATGATAACACTGACATCTCACTCGGCCCACGTCCATGGTACGCTACGCTGCACCAGCCTGAGCACAGCTCTGGACAGACCCACACTAGGGCGCCAGCCAGGCCCCTGAGGCCGGCGCGCTGTGGCGTCGCTGGCCGGGAGGCGGCGGACGCATCTGCCGTACCGGCACCGGTCGGCCAGCTGCGGGCTCTCGGCGATCAGACGGCCGACGAACGCCCGCTCGCCGCCCGGGCACGCCACCTCGTGCAGCAGGCCGGTGGCGGCGGCGGCGGGCGGCGGCCGGCGCGCGCGCGCCTCGCCGCCCTCCGCCGGACTCTCAGAGTCGAAAAACGGCGGGTTGCAGAGCGTGAAGTGGACGGGCCCGGCCGACTGCAGCGGCCCCGTCACGAGGCTTGCGTCGGCCTCCAGCACTGCAACACGTGCGCCGGTACGTTAGCGCGCACTCTCTCTACGGCAAACCTGTATCCAGCTGGCATTCACGGGTCCCGAAGGTTAAAGGCCAAACGGGCCCTGCACGAAGACTTGGAAAATCCCGGGCCCCCTTGGTCCGGGGGGAACTCATTTACGCGGGCCATTCAGCAGAAAGAGGCCCATGAGGCAAAATCCCCAAGGGGCCCACTTCAAAGGGGCTCACCGAGCGGAGCTGCGGTTAATCCCAGGCTCCCACTAATAGATGCCGATGTAAGAGAAACGATGGGCTATGGGGTCATTGGGACCAGAGAGGAGTCACGAGGCCACCCTCAGGTACCTGAGGGCCCTGCAGGAAATGGCCCGCTGATCCAATTTGTGTCAAAGTCCAAAAGGGACCCCTGGCACTGACGTCACGTAATGGAATGTCCCTGCTATACTCAAGATGTCTCAAACACGGCCATCAAAGACGCTGAATGTTCAAGGGGCGACTTTCAAGAGCCTGCAGCCGGAACTGCTCCAAGCGCGCTGTATTAGCGGTTCAAAAGCTGCAGGTTGGCGCGGTCCGCGGCCCATTTCCCGAGGCCGAGTACAGCGCCAGGGGTATGAATGACCTAAACGACCAGCAAGCGAGGTGTAAACATCGAGATGCAAAATCGCCGCAGCACCCTTCTAGTTCACTAAGAGCGCTTATCTCGACACGGCTGTCTTGGGTGGAGGGTGAGGCACGAGACCCGTCAGGCAAGTTATTTGTGGAACCGTGCCAGCTCCGGCTGAACGTAGGCTAAAATTTGGACGACACAAACAGTGTTGGCATGGCCCCTGACGTAAGGCTAACACGCACAATCGTGAAGTGTCATCTGTGAGACCGAAAAAGACACTTCGAAGGAGGCTCGCCCTCGAGAGCTAGAGGCCCATTCCAGACCCCTACTGACAGATGGCTGAACTCTGCATTGTGATCCGCCCGAAAACTTTTGTGAGCACGTCGCACGGGATATTGTGAGCGAGCATTTTGGGTCACATGAAACAAAATGTTACGCTGCTTCTCTGTGTGGCAATACAGTTATCCATGTTGGATGTTTTGCTTGGATGGGTCTCCCCGCTAAGGTCTTGACTGTTCTGATCGGAGAGCTCTGTTTCTGAAATTTCACACTTCCAACCGCAATTCAGCATTTTCTAACGTATGAGATATTCTATAGCGGCATACTTTGTATCCTGTGCGCAAAAAAAATCGAGACATTTCGCCGTAACTTGCCGTGCATCAGAATGGCTTTGCCGAAACTATTTGTCCAACGTCGTACAACAATTTTGGGCCATCCATCGCCAAGACCTATAAATGGCCGCATCCGGGAAGAAATACGATTTTCAAAAGGCATACGTGGACAGGGGATCGACTTAGTGAGAAAAGGGGGGAGGCTCACTTGGAAAGGAGACCCGGACAGCCAACATCCCCTCCCCCCCCCCCCCAAAAAAAAGTGTCTGGCTGCGCGTCTGCCGGCACCTGGACGGTCGTCACAGCATATATTGCAGCAGTGGTGTGTACATACCAGCGTGCGGCGTCAATGAAAGCACACCAGAACAAAAATATGTCAGTCCATTTGCATACATTACGTCGACACTTTCACCGCCGTCCCTCAATTCTCACCCTGCACGAGCTGCTGCAGACTGTTCTTCTGGACGTTGCGGCGCGCCACGGCCAGCGAGTCGGCGTCACGCTCCGTGGCCACCATCCTCCAGCCGCGCCGGGCTCCCAGCAGCGCGTACACCGCACACGGGCCCGTGCCTGTCGGCGGCCAGCGTGGTCACCTGCCAGCGACGCACCGACACCGGGGCGACGACGGCATCCGCGGCGCGGCGTCCCAGGGCACGGCCGCCGTCCCGTCCGGGCCCCCTCCACTGGCGGCGAGCGGCGCCTGGGGACGGCCGCCGTCCCGTCCGGGCCCCTCCACTGGCGGCGAGCGGCGCCTGGGGACGGCCGCCGTCCCGTCCGGGCCCCTCCACTGGCGGCGAGCGGCGCCTGGGGACGGCCGCGCGCGCCTACACGCTCGCTGTGCGGCTGGCGGCAGGGCCGACTCCACCATGCGGTGAACAGAACACACGCCGGACGGCGGAGCGCTCTTTGACGCAATGTATGAGTGAGCACGGACGAGGACGTAACGCCATATGGTGCCTGTAGTCTAGTCATGCAGGTCACCCTGTCACTACGTGGGATCTGCCACCAGTGCGCAAGGCGCCGAATATCGCGACAGCGCATCGGCGACTATTCTTATCATGTGACATCGCAATCAGGTCACGTTCACAGGTCGTGCTCAAATCGGTTTGTGGGTCGTGCTCAAATCAGCTCACAGGTTATGCTGAAATTGATTAATGGACCGTTCTTAAATCAGCTCCAGGGTCATGCTCAAATGGGCTCATGGGTCCTGTCCGGAGTTTGTAAGTGTTTGAATAACTAACTAGTCTGGCGCCACGGTTCGAGCACCAGCCACTCACAGGCAGCACCTCACTGAGAAAGTCATTGTTGGGGCAATTCATTCCCGAGTCCGGCCAAGACAGCGCAATCTAAGCAGCTGGTTGAAGCGCTAGAGACGATTCCGTTCCCGAGCGTGGAAATCGAGACGGCACCTGCGCCCGACAAAGGTCACAGCGCCGCCTCGTCGGGCGCCACGTACCCAGGTCCAGGCCGACAACGGTCTCGTCCTTGGGCAGCTTCAGGGCGCGCACGATATCCTCCAGCCAGAGGATGTAATTGAGCCGATTGGGCAGCGTAGGCACCAGCTTGTCTGCCGGAATCTCCACGTCCAGCTGGAAGTCCTTCAGCAGCAGCGTTTGCGTCAGCACGCGCAGGGCGTCCGGATCCTTGAAGTCATATTTAACCTTGCCCGACACATCCTGGGAAAAGTTCCATCCGTATGTCTTTCGTGCGTTGGGAATCAAACAACCACGCGCTCGCAGCGGCGCTCCACGTCTTTTGACATATTTTGAGTGATCTGAAATGCTGCATCATATGATATTAATAGGCGTTTCAATAACAGCAAGTCTCATTACAAAGCAAAGAGCAATCATTATTTACTGTAAGTGTTCATTATATGTTAGTTGTACTTGTGGGAACTAACTGAACATTCGCAGTTAGTTTCACCAGCGAGTGTCGCCCCTCTCATACACGACCACCGTACACTAGCCGTGAGCCTCATCTGGAGATGGCTGTGTATATGGACATGCTCGCTGTGCGCTGGGACCGCAGCCTCGAGCCGATCCGACCGTGAAGCGCACAGAATACATGAGGAGCAGCCGCGGCCTTGGCGCAGTGAACACCGACGACCCCCAGAGGACACTCACCGTGGTTACGTGTTTCCTGATGTCCGGAAAGTCATCTACCAGAGCTTTGAAGTCTGGAGGGGTTCGGTATATGTTACGCGGATGCATGAATGCATTTTGAGCCATCTTGTCCACACCAATTCACTACACAAGTCTTCCAGCCACCTGTGGCTGCAGTTGTTGCTGATTTCTCATGTGAAGAAGGACACATCTGTGACTTTTCATATCATACCATTAAGCCATTGTTCATGAGAGTTGGAAAGTTTAACTATATTCATGTAGCCCAACTAGATACATTTCCTTTATTGTACATAAGGTGATATTGGGCAAGACCATTTCATAAGAGTGCACCAAATTTGATCAGAACAGTCTGTCAAGTAATAAAAAGTGACAGCAACAGACAGACCAACCAGCAGTCTGTGTCAAAATGACAACAGCAAATACCAATGCACTGAAACTAAAGGCAGTAACTTTTAAGGCAGATCAGTAAGCACATCACTTTTGTGAGTGCCCTTGATGGATCAGAGGCAGCAGAAAAGAACCCAGCACCAGAAACCAGGTAACATAGCACCAAATGTGCTCCATGGAAGGTATGCAAGCAACACCAGACCTGACAAACCATGGGGGGGGTTGGCACTACAGCTATCAAGGATGACCAAGGCCTGTATCATGAGATGTCACATGGCATCTATCAATCATATTCTGGTTGACTTGACCCAGGGCATCTGTCAGCAGTCCCATACACCAAAGCACTGGCCTAGGGATGAAAGAAAAGCTAGACCAGCAAGGCATGGGAAGACGTAAGATGATCTGATCATACTTATCACTCAGATGCAGGATTTTGACTCGTTGAGCTTGGTGCAACAGAGCACCCCATGTTTACCGTGCCACGTCAACAGGCATCATCTAGTGTAGATTTTTCCTGACTGAATAAATGCTACAACACCACTGGCTGGGCCTCACCTTGAACTTGTGAGTGCCAAACTCTAGCCAGGCCAAATTACACAGACACGGTACACCATTTTTCTTGTTATGGGGTATTTTTGGCTAGTCGCCTTGGAAACATCACAATTCTTTGAAAAATTGACTTTCCATGCACACAAATGGGTACCAGCTATACACCAAACAATTACTGTTGTGGTGTTACCCCACACCAGTCATGTTTGGCACATGTATTTCTACAGTCTGATGTAGTTGTGTCATTGGGGCTTTATGACACACTGGGCTACTGAGGCTATATGTCACCATCTGCCTCTCTCCCTAGCAGGAAGGACAGGCACCACACTGAATTGAACCCATACCTCTGGTTTCCCAGACTCAGCAGTTAATGAGGACACATTAACCACACTACCAGTAAGTCAGTGTGACACAGTTGCAGTGCTTTATTGTAAGATCATGCAGACCAATTAATGCTTTGCTGGGCAAGACAACATAATCAAAGTATCTTTTCAAGAATACATGTTTCACACCAGTTCAAGTTCTAAATAAGTCAGGTCCACACACTTCTGATATTCAGAGCCAACCTCAGCCTCAAATTCGGGTGTCTTTCAAGTTCGGTGATACAGCCACCGTCACTGCCCGGGACATTACACCCTAGTCTTCAAACACTTGATTAGCTAGTCACTGGGTTCCTCAACATCAACTAATATTTCACTTCACCAGTTTTAATCAACGACCCCCACATATGACCAACACTCTCCACCGCGCCTATTCACGCGCGGGGCAAGTTCTCGCGGGGAACTTCAATAAGCGGCACTGCGGCGAAAGTAGCGAATAGATCATGAACGTTTTCCGGGAAAGACGCACGACTTCAAAAAATGCACCAACGCAGGCACTAGCGAGATCACTCCTTCCACGCATGCCACCAAAAGCAAACAAACCACCCTAACGCTCTAAAAACAAAATCGGGTGACCCAAATATGTTTTAGATGCTCGGTAAAAGGCAGAAGATTCGCCAGATTTTAACTGGAATCTCAGAAAAGGTTCCCTCGTTTCAAGGTTATTAGTTTCCACATCTTCCCCAAAACAGACCTATTTGATGTGGTTAAGGGCTTTGATAATGTGTTCACACGCTATACGAACACATCTTTACCCGCTCAATCGACCAATCAATGATGGTGCAAGAAAATCTATGTAAGAGCAAGTCTGACCATGACCTGATGCGTTGGTATCATGCCGCTTTGGTGATCTTATCTTGTCAAAATTAGTGCATGCCGAAGGAGCGATAGCGCGGTCCTAATTTTATAACGATCTGTATTGTGGGATCAAACTTGGCGGGGCCAAGCTGCTGCGGGCCTAACGTCTATGTACACCGGCGGTGCCCCAACCCCCTCCACGATGGTCTATATCATTGTGCTTTTCCCATCATAGATCGCTTCCAACAGGTTTAGAAACATGTGTGATGTTATCGCCTATCTCTTTTCCTTGTGAAAACCCTAGTTGCGCCACCGGTTTTATTAAGACATAGGGATGTAACCAAGCCTGTAGGTGCACCCGCGGCGCTGCCTTCTCCACACCACACAACACCACCACAGCTTGACCTTGGAGTTCGCGCACGGATCTCGTTCGCGTCCCAAACACAGCGAACGCGAGGTGGGGCGGTTGGTGGTTAATTCCCCGGACGCCGCCACCAGAGTAGGGTTGGCTGTGGCTATTCCAGAGGTGAGTAGGAAGACGCAAGATGTTTTGCATGTTTGTCTGGATTTAATTCTTGGGCTTGGTGTATGCCCGCTGTAGGGCTCCTCTAACGCAAGATTTGGGCTGGGCCTCAGTTGTGAATTCGGCGCACAAGTATAGGCCCCCCGGGAAGGCGCATGCAGTGAGTGGGCGCGGTGAACTATGACATCGCGCTTGTTACCGTGGCTATGAGATTGGGTGGGGACAAGGTGAAGGGTTCAATGGAGTCTGGGGATAGCCTGACCTGAAAATAATGAGATGAATAAGGAAAGGTAAACGTGTGCATTGCATGGTCAAAATTGGATCAGGATGTAATCCCATGGGAAAATTAAAGGAAAGTGGTGCTAAGTTCATGTTACATCAGGCTTTCCTCCACTGTAAATTGTGTCATTCCTCAGCAGCTGCTTGAGTGATGAATTTGCACCCACGATTGTTTTCTTTGAATATTGGATATGCTGGATGTTTGTAGACATGGCATGCAGAATGCAGATGATGGGTGGAATTATTATGCACCTACCTGTAATGGCATGGCTTACTATCAGAGCCCCTTTGAGAAGAAAATGTGAATAGGACAGCAAATCATAAGTGTTCTTAACATACCTGATAATCTGTTGCATTGCTTCTGCTTGTGTGGTTTGCAGTTAGTATTCCATGCTTGACTGCTAAATGTCAGGAAACCAGAAAAACTTGCTGCCAGTTACAGAACAGACTGATGACAGTGGAATCATTCCAATCATCCTTAAAAGCTTGCCACTCATTTTCCCTACTGTTCCAGCCAGGAGCATAGTTTTGCAAAATGGGTTGTGGGGCATTAAAGCAAAAACTGACATAACCTGCCCCAAAAGTATGCAACCAAACAGGTCTGTCCTCTAATTTTTATCCACTTTCTTTCCAAAGTGGGATTGTCTGAAGCCTGAGTTGGAGGGGGGTCTAAGCCCCCGAAGTGAATAGGAGACTATGCCTCTGGTTCTAGCATCCAAGTCATGGTGATGCCACCAAAGGACTGCTCCACATTTTGTTTCAAGTCTTGTTCCCTGTAGGTACCTGGCCCTACACCAAGGTCCAGTTTCACTGCAGCATAACACAATTTTCATGGTCAAGGTTGAGAGCCTGTCATGGCTGTGGGTGGCTTATACCACTGAAAAGAATGACATTGCGTTTGAGCTATTTTATGTCTTAATTCAAATATTTGCCCAGCCTTAGAGCTGTAGTACTCACCAGGAGACATGTTGCCTACTTAAACCAACACATACTTCAGCTCTGAGTTAGGCTTAACAGGAGGTCCAGCTCATGTGATTGACCCCTGCATACTGTTTGCAGGCCTGTGCAGTTGCTGTGTGTCTGTGTACACTCATCAGGTCAGCTAAGTGGCTGACCAGTCTGCTGAGCAGGCCCTGAGCAATCATCCCAAGATGGCGGGCACTGTGCCTGACGGAGAGGCGTCCGGCCGGCGCGGCTCGCGCAAACAGTGGACTCTGCACGACGGACCGCAAGGCTCGCTGCGTCGGCTGCGCAGTAACCTGGCAGAGGACGGCTGCGAGGAGTCGCAGCTGGTGTTGGCCAAGCAGCTGCTGGATGCGCCGGCCGCGCCCTCTGAGGCCACCCAGAATTATGTCCAGGCTGTCTATTGGTTGACCAAGGCATCCGAGCAGGGCAATGCTGAGGCTACCGAGCTGCTGCGCGAGTGCTTTGACCGGGGCCGCGGCATCACGGACCAGAACTACATCGACGTGAAGAACTGTTTGGACATGACGCAGGAGGAGAAGCTTTCGCGCCGTGCTGCCCGCGAGCTCTTCTACACGATGGCCGACGGTCAGGACTTCATCACGACGGCGCAGCTGCGCAGCCGGTTGCAGCGGCTCACCAGCCAGGAGCGGCGCGACCTGGAGCGTCCCGCGCCTGCCGCGCCGCCGCGCGCCGCCGACGGTGACCAGCCAGCCGCTGAGGCCGAACCACCCGCTGATGGCGGCGGCGACGGCAACGGTGACGGCAGAGATCAGGGCGAGGGCGTAGCAGCGACGGCGCCGGCGGCCGAAGACGCGACGGACACGCCGCGCACCATCTCCTTCCTGAGCCACATCGGCGGCGAGAAGCTGTCTGAGGACTCGCTGGTGGCGGCGGCGGCCAACTTTGTCAACGGCGACCTGCCCACCATAAACAAGTTCCTTAAGGTCAGCGATGACGAGACTGCTTTCCAGGAAATGACGCTGCTGGAGAAGGTGATGTTCCATCCGGTGCGCTCCGTCAGTTACGGCTATCACAAGATGATCGAGACAATGTCAGAGCGCGGCAACGCCTTCCTGCTCTCGCTGATCCCGACTACGCAACTGAAGACGATCCTGGTCGTGTTCCTTGTGTCCTTCGTCGACGTCCGCATGCTGCGCTTCATCCTGCCGGTCATCGTCCTGTACGTCGCCCTCTTAGTCATGGTCATCTCCACGCTGCAGATGCTACAGCTTCACGAGGACCTGGGCAATTTCCGCATCTGGTCACAGGTGATGAAGATTATCAAAGACGACCTGAACACGCAGCTAGCCGAGGCCAAGTTCTGCTGGAAGAACCTGTACCCGTACGGGCGCTTCTTCGTGGCGATGGCTGCGACGGTGACGGCGCTGCAGTACACGCCTGACTCGATGGTGCTCAGCTCCGAGATCACTGCGCTGGCCGCCCTCATGACGGCCATCACGTTCATCTCGCTCAGCGAGCGCCACCAGCGGCTGGCCTGGCTGTCGATGGTGCTACACGTGACGCTGTCCTGTCTGCACCTGTTCCCGACGCTGAGGCCTGCGCCGGCGGCCAGTCTGCAGCTGGCGCCCGGCCTCTTCCTCGACTTCTCGTTGCTGGCTATCCTGCACCTGGCCACGCTCGGTTGCTACGCCACGATGGCGGCGCAGGACAGGTGGCGCGGCACTTACAAGGTGCTGATCCCGCACCTGGCCTCGGTCGTCTGGTTCCAGACCGCCATTCTGTTTGCCGGCGACGCCTCCACCGGTGGCGTGCTGCGCGCTGTCGGCACCTTCTTCGGCACTGTGTTTGCGCTCCCCATCATCGGTGGCTTCCTGCTGCTATTCCCAGCTGTGGCACTGGGCCGTCACCTTTACCAAGCCGGCTTCCTGCTGCAGGCGGTGGTGACGGGCGCGCTGCTGGCGCTGCCGTTCGGCCTGGCCTTCTTGCGCAGCCGGCACGCCTCGCTGACGCGCGTCATCTCGTCGTACCAGGTGCTGGTGCTGGGGCTGGGCCTGCTGTCGCTTCTGCCGGCCGTGCAGATCACGTATCTGACGACGCCACCGCCCACCGACGTGACTTGCGCTGCCCTGGCAGCAGTTCTATAACGTGTGTCACCGGCCGGCACTGGACGCCGCCACCACGGCCCAGGTGCAGCACGGCTGTCAGCTGCTGGAGGGCGCCACCGTCGAGTGGGAGGGCACCGTGGCCGACGTGCGCGTCCAGTCGGCCGAGAACAAGCTGCAGGCGCTGATCAGTTTTCCTGCCGGTGGGCCTGCAGCAGACGCTGGCCTGCGTTTACGGCCGTCCAGTCGGAGACTGCAACGCCGAGCTGATGGACGAGGTCAGCTTCAGCCGCTGCAAGACGGCGCACACCGTCATGACGTCACGATGCACGTTGCGCTCCTGGAACCGCTACCAGTTTCACATTGTGGTGCACATGCCAGCTGGCTACCTAAACGTCAGTCCGGCTGATGTTTACCTGGCGGCCGACAACCAGTTCCAGGCGTTCGGACTGAACCTGCGGGCGGGCGACCGCGTGCAGTACCGCGGTCAATTGAGCGCCGGCCTGGGCACGACGCGGCCGCAGCTGCAGCTGACCGGTCTGCGCTGCCTCAGCTGTACCCAGGAGATCGCCCCCATACTGGAGGTCACCCAGCGCGACGTCGTCAACGAGCTCGTCACCAGCGCCGGCGCCGTCTTTAACTTCGTCTGCTCGCCGCTGCTGCGCTACGAGAAGGACCCAGCCGCCACCTGAGCGGGCCGCCGGCGCAGCGAGCGGCGCTTCTCCTCAGCTGGGGTCGCGGTGGCGGGCATTAATCAACTGTCTGAAGTCTGAAACGCGGAGCGCCTGGAGTTCGGGCGCGGATGCAGCTTTATGCCGACGCGGAATTGGTCGACGGACCTTCCCCTGTTGTTTTTCACGTCCTCTAGTCAGGCTTGATAGACTTGAATGAGGGTTGGCTTCAGGGGTCACGCTTTGCAAGCAATCCCACTATTATCTTGTTTCTGTGCTTCCTGCAGAGCAGCTTTCGCACATGGTGATGTTCACGGCATTAGCTGAGAAGCTTTGAATGGCCTCTTTCAATACTCTTCAACTACTTGCGAGTGACATCGGATAATGCACGTTGGTTCAATGGCGTGTGTTAATAATCTATATATGCGAGGTATTCGTTCCTTGTCTTATCTGAATGAGGGCCATAACTTTTTGTTTAGTGTCACATTCGTTGGCCAGGTTGGAAAGGGTAGGCTTTAACACTTAGATCTGATTTGCTACTTACGAGTGTATTTGTACCTAGTTGATTATTTCAGCATGGCTTATGGTCATACTTTTGCGTGTTGACTACTTTTGCCTTTGTCCTAGGAGTACACCTAGAAATTTCCTGTTTTTGTTTTTGTTTTTTTGGTACTGTCAGTTACTGTCTTGCCGCTGATGCTCGGGTAGACACATCAGTGAGCAAATGGGCACAGGCGACAGGTTTGTCAACAGATTGTGGCCTTTAGGAGAACTTGTTAAACAGACGCGTAGAGAAAGAGAGTTTGCCGGCAGGAGGCAGAGCTTGCTGTTTACATCTGTGCTGTCGGTGCTCATTCTCAGAGTCCCTTTAAAACCGAGACAGCGGGTGCATTATCAAAACAAAGACGTAAAGCGCACTGGCCCAGGATTCAGAAATTGGGCTGTTGGCTATCGGGCAGCATTGCAAAGGCGTTGGCCAATTACTTGGAATGTTCCGTAAAGAAGATGGTGTGTGCTTTTCTAGTCTAAGTGCGAAATAAATAACATCAAAATGAACAGTGTTTGCAAACAGAGAAGGTATGACGCCGGGCTTACGGAAGTACGTTAAATGTATTATGCTTGGAATGTGAACGAAATATGTGGTTACCAGCATTGTACGGTCCCAGCGTCCTATTTTGGTGTGTTGTTGCCAATTTAGCGTGGATAACCGCAGAGTGCGTCGACCCAACCTTTTTGGGCCGATTTTCTGATGTGCGCTACCCAGGGGCGCAGTTTCGCAAAATTGGTTGGGGTGTGAGGCTCAACGGGAAAAAGTACCCAGCCAGCCCTCAAAATATGCAATAAACAGTTTTTTTATAAATTAATTCCGAATGGTTTGCATGGGTGACTGCGGGTTCAGAGTACCTGCTAAGCATAGCTTGTTGCGTATACCCCGAACCCACCACTCAAGTCGTGCCATCTAGTTCAACGGGTTTCTCCCGGATTCTGCCCACTTTCTGTCCCAGTTGGGGGGGGGGGGGGACTGAAGTCTGTGTTAAGGGGATGGGGACTGAATCCCAAGTTGGAGGGGAGTGAAGCTCCCCCACGTCTATTCCAACTGAAAGGGAAACTACACCCGTGGCGTTGCCAGTGTCAAACTTACGCGCAAAGCTGTGATTCGTGCCCCTCTCCTCCCTGTTCTTACACCTTTCGGCCGACCTCTTCAGAACGTTTTCGTGTAGCTAGAGCAGCTACGATTTCGTGAGCCGTTCAGAACCCGGGGCACCATTAAACACATGCACATTGTATACCGTAAATATGATATGGTAGAGGTACGGTACAGGCTGTGACCTGAGGTCGCCAGTTTCAGGACGGTTGATGAAATCGTAGCTGCCTTTTCTTTCGGAAAATGTCTCGAGGACACCGGTTCGGCTTGCTCCTAGTTTAGATTCTGATGCACTGTCTTGGGGCAGTCGATGCAGGTTCTTATGGGGAAGACGGTGAACTGTGGTCACAAGTTTGAGGCTAGGCAATGAAAAAGTCTTGTATTCTTGCGTTAACTGGTGTTTATTTGGAAAAAAGTCGGCGCAGCACTCGGCGGTGCGGCAGTTTTTGAGTTTGGAGCTGCTTTTGTGGATGGTGGCGATGTTGACTGCTACGGACAGCATTTTGGTAGCCGCTTTTGCGGCAATTCCTGCCCGGCAGCTACAAAATATTGTTATTGTCGTTCATGCAATCTGGGTTCCAACTTTAAGAAGAGGCATTCAGTGCACCTGAAAAAGATCTTGTGGTGTGTTAGGTGAAATATTTATGCGTCAGCGTAGGTACAGGCACGCTATTTTAAAGTTAAACACCTGCGAACATGAAAGCCAACACGTGGGCTGTATAAATTGTCACCTTTATACCCACTGTCAGCATAGTAAAACTAGATAAGATGGTAGTATCAGCCTAATTCCTCAGAAAAATCAGGGGAATGGGGCTAGTTTGGTTGATATTCCAGCAAGATGCCTTTATCGAATCAAAAGCGGAGGTGAAGTGTTGGTGAAATAAATTGGGTAAGATCTACACTTCTGCTGTTGTTTTGTTTTGCTAAAGGCATGTTGCAAAAATATCACTCAAACTATTCTCTATTGTCCTGTTTTTTCAGAGGAACAAGGCTAATGCTACTGTCTTATCTGTGTGAATAATGCTGCTCACTAATGCACTGGGAAACTAATGTAATGCAATGTATGTGATAGTTTCATTGAATACATAATATCAACAATAATTGGATAACATCCAGGTTGTATTAGATACCTTAACTTAAGGCATAGCAGTTGCATTTTCACAGTGCTGGTCATGAGTGTTTTGTGTTCATGGCACTGCACTGATGCACTGAAGTCAGTGGTTTGCATTTTGCTCACCATGGCTCATCTTACCAAGCAGATAAATACAATACTAGGAAATACATAGAGGTGCAATGGTGCCCCCATGCCTTTATGATGTCTCAAATTTTAGTCAGAAGCAAAGATGTGACCTGAGCATATTGCCAAAAAAAGTAAAGAAAGACACTTAAATCAGGTTTTCTCCTGTTAAAATTAGGAAATACATAGTAATGGAATTAAAATCCCTCTTTCAAATGTTCAATGAGCACACCATGCTTCTTCCTGTCAACAGCAGTCACTGCCAGCCCCTGATAGGACATATTTGTTCAGATATTCAGTGCTGATGCTATGCTGGATACTGCTATTTTTTTAGGTTAAAAAACACAAGTGTCATGATTGTCCTTGAACCAGCTGTCATTTAAACCCCAAACTTCTGATCATTCAATTAGAGACTGTTCATGATTCCAGCTGTTGCTAGTTACCTTCCTGGGAAAGTAAGTGGCAGATGTCATTGGCTGGTAATACATTCTTGTTATTTAGAGATGAGATGGTGCAATGCTGCCCCCTTCTTATTAATATCACAATTAGTTTAATTCCACCATTGGACTGCATTCTCATTTAAGTCTTGGTTTTCAAGAGCAACAGCTCTGCTTGCTGTAAAGATCCTTCACTAGCCATGTCTCTGCTCTTTCAGGTGCATTTTTTGCCTGAAGATAAAACAGGTCATGTAATTAGCAATCAGCCATATCAAGATGGCCTCTCTTTTGACTCTGAAACTGTCAAAACTTGCCAAGGCAGTGGCTGAAAACCTACCTAAAGTTAGTGATGCTGGTGCAGCGGCATTATCCGGTATCCCCATCAGGAAATCTTCTCCAGTGTCCTTCAGAGACTTCATCAGAAGAATATCACTCTGTGGGTGTCAGGATGAAATTGAGGTGAGATAACTGCATGGGCGTCTTTTGTTTCAAGTTCCATTATCCAGTATCCCTATCAGGAGGTCTCCCCCAGTTTCCTTCAGAGACTTCATCAGGGAAGTATCACTCTGTGAGTGTCAGGATGAAATTGAGGTAAGATATCTGCAGTGCACCCTTTGTTTCAAGCTCCCTGTATCTGCCCAAGATTGAAGTGACAGCAGGGAAGTCAGGTGGGACATTGTGTGCCACCCTGTGTTTGTGTTTTGTGTGTAAGCACTTGTTGCTTTTTAAACTTTTTGGCACTAGTTGCCAGCTGTTACTCAATGGTTTTGTTCTGCTAATGCTACCTGTTAGTGTATTATAAACTGTCATTTATCAATAGCATTTTTACCACTTTCTTGAAATACATTGTATCACAAATTGGAAGAATATCACTCTGTGGGTGTCAGGTGTCCCATGCATGGTGTGCTCCCATGCTCTCCTCCCACATGCTTACATTCCAAGCCCATACCCAAATCATTAGCATATGTCCTAAGCACATCTACCATTTCAGAAAGCCCATCACAAGGAGAATCCAGGGTCAGCTGTGGGAGATACTGAGGCCCAAGTAAACTGCCATTTACTTGGGAGATATGGAGCCTGAATGGTTCACATTCCATCTTAATTTGCTGACCAAAAATGGGGTGGCATCTGACAGTGACATTCCTTTCTAGCTGACAATCCAGGCCGAGTTGGCCAGTATGGAGCAGCTGCTGGCACTGCCCTCGGCCGAGTGCACGGTGCGCGCTCAGGCACTCAGTGTGGCCGTCTACTGTCACCTGCTCGGCTATGACGTGCGCTTCATCTGCATCCATGCCATCACTCTGGCGCAGCAAGGCTCACTGCTGCAAAAGCGAATGGGTAAGACAGCACAGCAGGCAAGCCACCACGGCACTGGGCGGCGTTCCCGCCGTTTTGGAGGCCATTTACTTGTCTTCAATGCTGGTGAGGCTGACGTGGCATAAGCTATTAAACACCCTGGCAACTGTGTGCCTTTTAAGATTGGTCATGTCTCTGGTAGCGAGGTGTGATCGCATACTGGAGGCCCGTCTGAGGAGAGGACGCCGTTGGCAGGCTACCTGGCCGTGTCGCTGCTGCTGAGGCCCACCGACGAGTTGGCCGTGCTGCTGGTCAACACTGTGCTGGGCGACTTACGTAGCGGCGACGTGCTGGTCCTCTGCACCGGCCTCAACATGGTCTGCCACCTGGTTACGGCCGACAACGCCGCCACCTTCCTGCCGGCCGTGCTCAGCAAGCTCAAACACCGCCAGGTGCGGGGCCCAAGCCTGCCGGGAGAACGGCCCGGCAACCTGTCCCTGCTGCTCTTGTGCACGTACTCGTGTGTACTTGACCATTTCAGCCGACGAGGTACTTTGCGACGCCAGTGGCCGAGTGGGTCGTTTGAGTCGTTACATCATTCTAGTCATTATAATGCCGGTCACGGGCGGAACTGCCGGCTCGTCGTCGCTGCGCCGTGCCGCTCTGTCCGAGCGCGACTCCATTTCGCGCTTCTGCCGACAGGCGGTGGTGCGGGACAAGGCGACGCGCGCGCTGCACAGTCTGCTGCTGTGCTCGCCGGAGCTGTTGCCCGGCCAGCTGGAGGCTGTGGAGACGGCGCTGCTGGACCGAGACCCGCTCGTCATGGCGTCGGCCGTCCAGCTGTGCCTCACGTTCGCTGCAGTACGGGCTGGGGGGTGCTGAGCATGTGCTGGTGGCGGGCCGAGACCGCGCCTGGGACGCGGTGGGCGGGGCTTGTTGGGACTGTAGGGCGACGCCTTGCGACAGTGGGAACCCGTCAGCTGCCTGCTGTCACGGCGTGCGGTGAGGCAGCAGACCACTACCAGAGCCATACAGCAGACCACGGCCAGAGACATTGAGTCGTCTCCGGGGTAGCGCTGCGGCCCAGCCGCTACGTCGGAGTCAATACCGCACCTGAACGGGCCGGCGCGGCGATGGTGTTTTGATGATCGCTTCGTATCCATCGTGTTGTTGGCCTTGCGAGATGCCCCCTTCCGGCACCGGGCAAGCGATGACGTTCTGGAACGGTAATTATCACAATGCCGCAGTGTGAGGCTAAGACGGCCTCACATTCAGATTTGGAATGATTTTACCACTGCCATGTGCTAGCCCACCTGAAGCGGACATCGCTCTGCGTGGCCCCATCATCGCATCAAACCACCCCCTGCGCTGTTTCCGCTCACGGCTGTATACCAGCCAGGGTCCCCCGTCGTGCGCCCCGCCTGTGGTGATGGCGCGGGCGGCGGGTGGTGCGCTGACGGCAGGCCTCCGATCCGACAGCTGAACCCGGCTATGTTCGCCCACCTGACCACCAGCCTGATGACGATCCTGGGCCAGGTCCAGAGCCGCAAGCTGCCGCCCGACTTCGAGCACAGGGGCGTGCCGGCGCCCTGGCTGCAGTGCTCGCTTATCCGGTGAGTCAGCCCTGGCGCGCGGTTGCTGGCGCTAACGCAACGCCACTGAGACCCACATCGAAGGCGCCGCGCACTGCAGCACACGGCTGTTATCCGTGATCCAACAACAGCACACCAAAGGAAACGCCGACCTTTTGGTATACACTGAGCTGTATTGCATGTCAAAAACGTGGACCCGTCCTTGTTCTCTTTGAATAACTGGTGTGGTTTTTGAACTTGAAGGGTGGCTCGATGTCACAAGCCATACGATTCGCCAGCTGTAATCCACCGGACGCGATGAGCATGCCAGTCGAGGTCGACGGTGCGCCCTTTGCGAGTGTGACCCAGCCGCTGTATGCTCCGGTGATGTTTGGAGTAAACACGAGGTCAGTGTGAGATGACACGGTGGTCTGGCGCGCCCCCAGGCTCATCTCGTACCTGTGCCCGGACGACTCGGGCTTGGCCGACACTTTCGCCCAGTTCCTGCTGTCTCAGCTGATGGCCGGCGTCCCCAGCACCGCTATGGGCTTTGCCATCCTGTGTGAGTGCGTGGCGGCGGCGGCCACGCTGCCGCCGGCGCCGGCCGCGCCGAGCGGCGGCGGCGACGCGCCGACCTCGCTGCACGCGGCCGCGCTGCGCTGCGCCGGTCTGATGGTGCGCAGCGCCAGCGGGAACGTGCGCTACGCCGGCTTGGCGGCGCTGTGCCGGCTGTGCGACGGCGGCGCCGTGCTGCCCGACGGTCCGCTCCGGCTGGCCGTGCTCCAGTGTCTGCGCGACGCCGACGAGACGCTGCGACTGCGCGCCCTGCAGCTGCTGCACGCCGTGGCCACCGAGGAGAGCGCCGAGGCGGTCTGCGGCCGGCTGATGGAGTCGGCGGCCTCCGCCGGCCGGCCGGAGGTGCGCGCCCTTCTGATGGGGCGCGCCGCGCTGCTGGCCGAGCGGTACGCGGCGCGCCGGCCGGCGCTGCTGCAGGTCACTAACCGCGCGGTAGAGCAGGCCGGCGGTGCGGCGGTGGCCGGTCGGCTGCGGCGTAGCCTGCTTCTGGAACCGGACGGCGGCCCGCTGCGGCCGGCCGCCGCCCGGCTGTACGCCGCTCTGCTGGCGGACGGCGCTGCTGACGGACGACTGCGCACGCTGGCTCTCTGGGCCGTGGGCGAGCTGGCAGCGCTGCTGGAGCCTGAGCTGCTGGAGCGGACGGTAGCCGCGCTCTGCGACCGACTGCCGCTGCTGGCTGCCGACGACCCAGACCCGGAGCTGGAGCCGGACGCCGAGGAGAAGGAGGAGGAGGCGCCGCTGCTGCAGGAGCTGCGCGCGCTCGAGCGGCTCGTGTGGTCGTGCGGGCCGCGGCTGGCTGTCGGCGCGGCAGCCCGGCTGACGGGCGCCCTGCAGCCGCTCGGCCACCACTGGGACCCGGAGGCGGCCGACCTGGCGCGCTCGGCGCTGGCGCTGCTGGCGGACGCTGACCGGCTGCAGCGCGTGGGCGGCCGTGGCTGAGGCCGTGCGCGACGGCCGGCTGCAGCCCGACTTCACGCTGTCATTCGCCGACACGGTGGTGGCGGCGGCGGTGGCGGACGGCGCGGCCGTGCTGCGCGCGCCGCCGCCGGCCGCCGGCTCCGTGGCGCCGAGCGTGGCCGCCACCTCGGACCGCTCGTCACCCACACTGGACGCTGGAAGTCCTTTTGAGACGCTCTGGCCCGCTCAGCTGCCCACATTGTGAGTGCGAAATCGACGCTGGTCGTGAAGTTGGCGTCGTAGATTATTTCTCGTGGCTCACCGGGTGCACCTACGGTGTTGTGTTCACCAACCGTGACATGTTCGTGTCTCCCGAGTGCCCTTTCATCTGCCTCCAGATCCAGTTCACGTGTGCCTCCCCCTCCCCTCCCCATCCCTGGTGTTACCTCAGTGTAGCGGGTCATAGCCATACACTGCATCCGTTAGCACACGTGACGTGTCGGCTGTACGACTGAAGTCGTAGGTTTGTAGCTGGAGGCGCAGTCAGAGGCGCGCTGGAGCGGGCGGGCGCTCTCCGCCGTCTGGATCGTGTCGGGCTGGGCTGTCCACCCAGGCGCGAGCTGTGCCGCGTCGCTTAGTCTGTGTGATCTGTTAGCCGACCTGTGCTGCTGTCGCCGTTCACCGACCGTGTGCCCCGTCGCAGCCTGTTGGACGACGAGCAGCGCCCGCTGGAGGAGCCGCCGCCCGTTTGGACGCTGCAGGGCCGGACTCCCGCCTCGCCGCCGCCGCCGCCGTCGCCGGCTCCGCAGGAGGGGCCAGCGAACCAGCTCCCTGCCGACCCCCGACCGGACACCGCCGAGCTGCCACCCGACGACGAGCAGGCCCGCGAGATAGCATCACTGTTCCCGCCTGGGGGGTCATGACGGCCGGCCGATGGCGAGCAGATCCGGCAGATGGCAGCAGTGTTGCCGCCCGCGGTGTCATGGCCGCTAGATGGCCGGCAGGCCTGAGAAGTGGCAGCAGTGTTGCCGCCCGGCTGGACCGCGACAGCCAGACGGTGAACAGAGTCTAGAGGCAACCGCAGTGTTCACGCCTAGGGATTCCCTCTGAGGGCGACTAGACCGCAAGCAGGCTGGAGGGGGGGGGGGGGGGTGCAGCACTTCCCGTCCACTGACTGCGAGTACCGCTTCAAGCGGTGTTGGACAGGCGTGCACGTGCGGCTGGTCGGATTCTTATCGGAGTGAACGCTATATGAAGCTACCGCGTGCCTGCTTTCTTCAAGTGGCGCCAGCTGAATCGTAAGAATGTTGGGTTTTTTAGGCGAGTTTTCCATACCGAGCTGATGGGGGTTGACCGAACTGGTATTGGCAGATCACCACTATCTCCGGGCGCTTCGCACACCCTCGACTCGCGCATGCAGGGAATGAAGTCCGAAGTAAATTGTCACTGTCCGCCCTTTAATACCCTGCCAGTGTTGCAGCAGACGCAAGGCTTTTACTGTGCTTTTAGCTAAAACCTTTTACCCATTTCGCAGAGGTCCGTTGTCCGAAGGGCTTCTAGCGATAGCCCCCAGATTGCTTTTGTGCAGGCGACGATGTGAGTAGATCATCGCTGATACGGCGTCGCGGTTAGCCTGCCGGACCGGGGTCCCCTACCTTGCACCGGACTTGCCAGCCCAGCAGGCGTCGGCAGCGTCACAGGTCTGGTGTGGTTTTGGCTGGAGCTCAGTAATTCAGAGTCGTAGGATGTTGGTGTGCGGTGGGCGGCGGGACAGGACTACACGCACCATCTGAGTCATACGCTACCACCCAGTGCAGGGGCCTCCCCGGCAGGACTACACGCACCATCTGAGTCATTCGTCACCACGCAGTGCAGGGCCTCCCCGACAGGACTACACGCACCATCTGAGTCATTCGTCACCACCCAGTGCAGGGTCCTCCACGACAGGGCCACATGCACCATCTGAGTTATTCGTCACCACCCAGTGCAGGGCCTCCACGACAGGACTACACGCACCATCTGAGTTATTCGCCACCACCCAGTGCAGGGCCTCCACGACAGGACTAAACGCACCATCTGAGTTATTCGCCACCACCCAGTGCAGGGCCTCCCCGACAGGACTACACGCACCACCTGAGTCATTTGCTACCACCCAGTGCAGGGCCTCCACGACAGGAATACACGCACCATCTGAGTCATTCGCCACCACCCAGTGCAGGGCCTCCACGACAGGACTACGCGCACCATTTGAGTCATTCGCCACCACCCAGTGCAGGGCCTTCCCGACCATGCACTACTACATGCACCATCTGAGTCATTCGCCACCACCCAGTGCAGGGCCTCCCCGACAGGACTATTCGCACCATCTGAGTTATTCGCCGCCACTCAGTGCAGGATCTCCCCAGCAAGCCATGCGCGAGGGCTCGGGCGGGTCCCCACTCATGGCTAATGCACGCGGCGTGCTCCGAATACATGAGGTTTTGCCGATATTCAGGATATAACAGTGGGTGAGAAAAGGATGGCGATGTTCCCTTGCAACTGCCTCTGTGACTCTAGCGAAGAGTTTCAGTAGAATTCCGGGCTGCATGAACCTACGCTCCAGCAGCCGCTGAATGCGTCGTACCAATTCGTCTCACTCAGCCGAGCCACGTTCGCAACTGTTTGCGTTGCATCTAGTGGACCTTACCAATACGCAATACATGAGAATAATCGTGTCCGCGCGCGCTCACCCACCGTCCCCGAATCGGGAGCAGCCGCGCCAGCCACCACGAGTGTGCCCGTTCGCTGTTTCCGCGTTTTAGGCGCGTTGATTGCGTGACCATTTTGCGCCCTCTCGGGAACGGCCAGCTCCATTTCACTCGGTCAGCACTACTGTTCGATTACTCAACCGTCTAAAATTAAGATACACCTACGCTGTCGGACGGCTATAAATATTGATGAAATCGATGTACGCCAAAAATGCAAATACGGCGACAATGTCAAATAATAGGTCACGAGGTCACCCGGATGCCGAGAAAGTGGTGCTGTGGTGAAAAACTCCACTGATTCGCGACATAGTGCGAGGTTTCAACGTGCTATACATTCCAACGCTCTCCTCATTCCCAACACCGTAACGTGTTCTGGCCCGATCCGTGAAACGAATATGTAGCGCAGGCGTGTCTCATCCGCAGCCGGCAAAGAGTGACCTCTTAGAAACGGCACGTTTAGATGACTCCCCACTCGCCTACAAGTGGTTTAATGGCCTTGAATGGATGAACTACCTCAAACTTCTTTGTCGCGCATCACAGATGTCTTGTGGTCACTAAGTCGTCGGTCGGTTCATTGACGGGGGAGGGGCAGTCTCGGCATTTGGCTGCTTCTACTGTGACATCCGCTGTTTCATTATCCACCATTCCGACCTATGGCAGTCGAGGATTTGAAATCATGCCATGATTTCATGGATCGAACCGCGCCTCAGGATTTCATCGAACTATGTCAGCGGACACAGGAACTGCTACCCACTTTGACCCCCGTACTGCTGCCACTGGTCGTTTGCAGGTGCCACGGCGCGAGTGTGCCGCCCGCGTCGAGCGCTACCTGTCCACGCGGTGGGAGCGCGGAGGGACTGCGGGGCGCCTCTCTCGCCGCGTCACTAGGCTGAACCGCGCCGTGTTCGTAAGAAGTGTTCAGCCTGAGCGGCTAATGCCTGTGAAAATATACAACTGCGGGTTTCGTGTCAATCCGGGCACTTGAGAACCAGTGCATTTCTCCGCGAACCAGTGCAGAGGTTGCGCCGGGAAATGCATCTCTGCGCGCATTACCTAGAAAAAACTTGGCAACTCGTACTCATGTATTTGTACTGCTGAGACAAAAGTACAGAGGTTGCGCAGACCACTGCAACGCTCACGCGACCTTCACATTCAGAAAGCTGGGCAGCATGGATATATAACAACAAAGCGCATGTAATCACAAAATCGCGACACCATCCTTAAAGCGTGATACTAACAACACCATGTGGTGAGCACCAGTGATCCGTGAGCAAGCCAGTTTGGGCGTGCCCACGTAGGTGACAGCGGACCCCAGCCTAGACGGTGGAGTACACCAGTGCCGCCGCGTGCTGTGGGGCGCACCAGCAGTCGGAGGCCGAGCCTCGACTGTGAAGGACCGGAGTGGCGGCCCTCCTCCCCCCCCCCCCCCCGTGTTCCGGCAGCCCAGCATTCGGTTGCAGACGGCGCTCGCCAGCCGGCCGGCTCCGTCTCTCCCAGCTGGTCTGACAGGCTGGCATGCCGCACACGAGACGCCACCATTCAGCCTTCGACGGGATGACGTCTCGCCGTGCATCTCACGGAGAGCAATTCTGTCAGGTCAGGGACACCCGGCATCAGCGACAGTGCCCCCCCCCCTCCCCCTCCCTCTCCCTCTCCTCTCCCTCTCCTCTCTCCCTCTCCCTCTCCCTCTCCCTCTCCCTCTCCTCTCCTCTCCCTCTCCCTCTCCCTCTCCCTCTCCCTCCCTCTCTCCCTCTCCCTCCCTCTCCCTCTCCCTCTCCCTCTCCTCTCCTCTCCCTCTCTCCTCTCCCTCTCCCTCCCTCTCCTCTCTCCCTCTCTCTCTCTCTCTCTCTCTCTCTCTCTCTCTCTCTCTCTCCTCTCTCTCTCTCTCTCTCTCTCTCTCTCTCTCTCCTTCTCTCTCTCTCTTTGGCATCAGTGGCAATTCACCAGGCCCACGTCAACACGACTGACATGACTGACCATGTGCTAGCAGTAGCGTTATCAACTGGCTCGTCGCCATGTTTGTCATTCAAAGGTAATAGTTACAGCGAGCAGTCCAGACCCTGTCTGACGACTTGCTGTGAAGAATACTACGCTACGGAGCCCTACTCCCGAAAGGCCTACTGCCTGAATACCTGCACCTACACCCTACAGCGGGTCAAAGTCAGGTCATGGATTCAGCCGACGATTTCCAGGGAACCATTAAACCTGGTGCAACAACTGAGTGCTTGACGAAGATCTCTGAGATAGTGTCTAGGGCAACACAACAACAGAATGGACAAAGTCACTGGCCCAGGGCCACTTATGAAGGTCAGACCAGGGTCCAAAGCAAGCTGTTCGTAATAGGTGTTGTTAAGGGTTGTATGGAATAGTATCTGGTGCCCATTTAAAATTTGTGTATGACAGAACCGCACTACAATCTTCCGTGGACCTCTTAAAGATCAGAATAGATCACTGACCTAAAATGATCCAGGTCAACATTTTGCTTTTAGGAACATTCTGTCTAGCGTGATCTTTGACGCGTATTCAAATGCAAAACTCGAAGAAATCTCGCATGATTTGGGCCACAAAGACGTTCGGTCAAGCAACGTCACTGACCTTAAATGCGAACCAGTGGTCTTGCTGAGAACAGGTATATAGGTTCTGGGGGCACTTTGGACACTAACCTGGAGTTCGCACTTGTTTGACCTTACCTGACCCGAAGGTCATGACTTAGGGTCCTAAAATTTTGACACAAGGGGGTTCACGTACAGGCCAACGCATCCCGTGAATTTGGCGTCTCCAGCTTGCTTAGTTTCTAAGACCTCAGGGAGGTCCAATT